ATAAATTAGATATAAAAAAATAATAAGAGGAAAAAAAAAGAAAACAAGATGAATTCAAAAAGAAACAAATTAATCAGGCACAGTCCCCGGCAACGGTGCCAAAAATAGACAGGCTGTCGAGCCTGTGCAATAATAAAAATAGAACCTAACTACCACTGAAAACAGTCAATAATTAATCCTAGGTACTAGAGCAAGGACTATAGGTATGCAATGAGTTACTTGATTCACCCTGTTCCCGAAGAGTTTGCTTAATCCGATATACCAAAATTAATTATTTCACAAAAATTACTAAATAGTAGACAGTGGCAAGCAAGGTCGTCTCCTCAGGGACTGAGGATATTTGTCTCTTTGAAATTCCAATTGGTAAAGGGAGCTTTTATCGGAATGAAACTAAAAACAATTAAGCAATTCAAAAATAAATAATTAATTAACTAGCATGAATATAGCAGGAATTAAATCAAGAATAAATAAATTCAAGCCAAGAATACAACTACTCAGACATAATCCACTTACCCGATCATTGATGCAAAAGAGATTCACTTAATTTATTAATAGGCTAGTTATAGTCGCTGACGAACTCTAACGACCAATTTTTCCTTAATTTATTGATAACCAAGGTACGACCATTGATTACCCCTAACCAGAAAATACTCCTAGGTACGACCGTAGGAATTAATTTTCCAACTGCATTAAGATCTAGAAAAATCTAACCCCAATCAATAACACACTATGAGGGTTATTTAAATTAGATTGCACGTTCCCCTAGTGTGTAAACATGCCAGTTGCCACTAATATTAATCAATCAAATAATTACGGATTTAATTGACTAATTTGGCAGGAGATTAATAAGTCACATTGAACATCGGGCCCTTGACATCCAACTAACAAAATAATTCTATGGAAATTCAAATAGACAATGTGCAAATATTAACAAATTAAAAAACGCATGAAAACTAATTAGATCTCACAGATATCGAGAACTGCGCTATTGAGTTGATCTTTGACTAGGTGATAGGCTTAGCCACGCCACATAAATAAATTTTCAAGCAATTTAATTGATTCCAGAGGCATCTTTTTCGAATAGTCAAAGAGCAAAAAAATTATGCTCCAGTCGAGATTAATGGAAAAGACGAAGAAAGGAACAAAAAAGCAAGTCTCGGGCTGTCTGGCACATCCGCCGAAAAGAACGAGGTAACTACTACCTAAAGTCCCTTCTTTTCCGTTTCCTATTACTAATAGGATTCCTAGTGCAATTCAACTTCTCATCAGCAAAAAGATAGGACTATATATTGAAGTTGATATTTGACAAAAAAATAATCAGCAAAAAGATAGGAGCCGTTTGTATCACTCCGTGGAGCCCAGCTTGTATTTTCTTTTAGAAACTTCCCATGTGTGGAGTATTTTTCTTAAGAAGATCCCTCTTTTTAGCACTTTTCAGTTCCACTTCCTATAGATAATTCAAATATCAAATATAAGTATATGTTAACCATTAATACGATATGTGGCAAGGACAAATAGGAAAATTAACAATAAAGTAACTAATAATTAACACCCTATCACACTCTCTTTTTAATCAAACCTCTTTATTTTTAATTTATTGATGTTTTATTCCATCTTTTAATTTTGTTTTTGTCCATTAAATTGAAAAAAGTTAAAAAAGAATTATTTTTCTTTAACCCAAATTATTTAATGCCACAACCATTCACTTTTATCTCATTTTTTGTTTCTTATCAAGTTTACAATTCTATTTTCGATTCTCTTGACTTTCTTCGAACTCCAAACTTCTATTTTTAAATTGCAATTTCTAAATCCCAAAACGTAAATTAAAATTTAAGTTCACAATATCTAAATTCTCATAGACGTGAATTTTGTATAATTTCAAAATATTGTGATATTTTTGGGTTGGATTTTGATATAAATGAAATTGAGATGAAATTTATTTGTTTTAACTTATAATTTAAAAAGTTTACTTCTAAAAATCCAAGTTATTAAAAAATAGTAAACTTTTCATCATATAAAGTATTAAATTAGTCCATTACTTGTCTTATTTTGTGTATATATATATATTTATATAAATCATTTTTTAAAAAATTCATTGAACCGGGGTTGAACTGGTCCGATCGGTTGAATCTCGATAATTTCACTTCACCGATTCAATTAACGATCCGGTTTTTAAAACATTGATCTGAACACATATTTTCAAGATTCTTGTCAATTAATGTCATCATAACAGTTAAAAAAAAAAAGAAGAATTAGGAGAATTTGTGATTTCTTTTCTCCCTAGAGCTTGTTGAAAAGTTGACACTCGATAGCTTCATATGCATGTGCTAGGTGGGTCGGTGCCATTTTGAGAAATCTTCATGAGTACTCCACATGGGCCAGCGAATCGTTGTCAAAAAAGAAGTGAGAACAGTGATAAACGAATGAGTACATGATCAGTGTATAGTTTCTTTCTTTTTTCATTTTTTTTCTTGATTTGAAGGGGAAAATCCATGTGAAGAATGAATTGGTTTAGTTCGATTCTAATCTATTGTCACTTAAATAGACCAAAATGAAGCGAAAAATGCTTCACAGATACATCAACGTTTAGTTCAATTTTATGTCCCCAACAAATTATATATGTATGTATGGATGGAGCAAGTCAATATAATTTTAGGGGAGGATAAACATATCACTTTACGTTTGTCTTTGCGTTACACAATGTAGCATATTTGGAAGTTACATCCTCCGTAAAAAAGTACATTTTTACATTATTGTCAGAATAAGAAAAAATTAATATCATGGTCAGTAAAATGAACCATAAGCAACAAGTGATACAGAAAATTAAATGTACCATAGTTCTAACTGGCAAAGGTGTTGGTTTGAAGCATGGAGTTTGGTATAACAGCCTAGCTACAAAATTTTAATGGACTCTCAACAAATAAGACTTAAGGTCTATGTAACAATAGGTGGAGATGGATTAAGTTTGGGCAATTACACACACTCTAATTTATTACATAGCTTAATAATCCAGTCTTTCTAAAAATTACCACAATAAAGAACCATAAGATGCAGGGAAACTAGTTTAAATTTTCTTGCTCCTTGCTTCAAAACCAAATTGTTGGTCAATTAATATATTTTAATTTTAATGAATGAGTAGGTCGAATAATATGGATGGTAACCAGAATATCTTGATGTCTTACACGTTGTAACTTCCAGGCTCTTCCAGGCAGGTCCGCCTTACGCCCATTGACAAAGCACACCTGAAGCCCCAAAATTTTACTTGGACTGGAAAAAGAACAGACTCTGGACTAGGACTAATATCGTTTGAGGCCACTTCATTAAATTGGAAAAAAATTTTTGGTAGTCTTTTTGGTTTTAAACAAAATTTTGAAAAGATATGGTTTTAGGGTTTTACTTTTCGATGTTTATTGTACAGTGCAGGTTTTTCACGCATGTTTTTTTTTTAACGTAATCCAAGTCCTAATAGTATATTACCTGAAGGAATACGTAGGAATTAGGAACCTTAAGTTAATTGATGAAATACGGCAGTTAGCAGTAGTCTCACCGGCTGAAAAATTCTCTCATCAAACCGCCAAGATTAAGTTGTAGATCAGAAGTTGCAATAGATGTTCAATAGTTGTTATGCTATTCTACCTTGACAATTGTAATACGAATCCCATGACACCATGGCCTTGTTTTCATTTGCTTTAGATTTTGTAAAATTTGATTATAGGAAGTGATTATATCAAAATCAGTAAAAGCCACTTCTTAAATGATTATGAATTTTAACTTTTTTAATTATCAAAATATATATATTATGAATACAAAGCAAACGAGAATATTATAAAAAATCGATTATTTAAAATCAGAATCTATAATCAGGTAAAATAGTGTACCAAGAACAAACATTATATCACCATCTGTCGGCTATCTGTACACATATGGTCCCAATACCTGTGCCAACGAAAAATTTAAGACCGAGATTCATGAACGAGCTATTGATTTTCACCTTCAAGTAAAGAACTGGTCTATTATAGTCAGTCAGGTTTTTAAGGAGGTTGTTACAGTTTGAACTGTGACTTCTCCAACAATTCATCAAACTCTTGAGCCAGTAATCTTCTAGACTCCCCGAAGTAGCTAAGGGATTGAGAGCTCAATCAACTTCAGGTTTGAGAAGCCGGATGACATTTCAGATATGGTTGTAACCGGATTCTTGCATCACCTTTGTTCTTTAAACTTCTTAAAGCTTAAAACATGCATTAGTGGAGCTTATTGTAATGATAGAACTGTTCCCTAGTCATACAATCTCTAGGCATGGAAATATAATAAGCGAAATGACATTATAGTGCGATTGATCCCAAATTTTTGTGGTCGTTATTAATCGATAATTAAACAAAGAGGGTTTGTTCTAACTTGCAAAAATTAGCATGAAACATAAAAATAGGGGATATTCGTGGTTCCTAATTGTCTATCCCTTTCCACGAAAAACCATTGTAAAGAAAGTTATTATTGTTTAATCTTCTTTATGGATAAACTTATCAGTCAAATCAAACAAAATTTAATTTGTTGCAGTGTCTTGAAGTAGCTTGCCTTCATATTATTGAAATAAATGTTAATTGTGAAGCTAATAATGCACTTAATTAACCAAAAATTAACAAGCACCAATAAGCCCGAAGTTATTTCAATTCTGTAATGTCATAGGTGGGAAAACGGTTAAACTGAGTTGGACTTCCATGAAAATGATGTCAAAGATGATGTACAAATTAAAATTACTTTGAAAATAGTAAATGAATAAATTTGATCAAATGTGGGATACAGCACAAACACACTAGTAGAGGTCTCTACTCTGCACAGGAGTCACCAGTGAGAGCATTCTCTTATTGTGTATTGGACCTTTTTGTGGGGACTTAAAGGCCTCCTCATAGCATGTGCTTCGATCACTCTCTGTTCATTGACGCGCTTTTCGAACCCATATCCATCACTATAAATAGGCATCATTTCCACGCATTTCTAAGTCGTGTTGTTACTCGAAAATATTCCCATGGCTAAGTTCAAAGTTCTCAATGCAGTTTTCTTCGTGCTATTGAGTGCAGGTGTATGTGTTGCGAGCAGAGCACTCCTTTCACATGAAGAGGATGCCGTTGCTGGCTACGTTCATGGAGGCATCGGTGTTGATATTGGTGGCAATGTAGCTGGAGGACATGGTGGTGGTGGAGGTTCTGGTGGAGGTGGCGGCTATGTAGGGTCGAATGGTTATGCAGGTGGTGCAGGAAGTGGACGGGGTAGTGGTGGTGGATATGGTGCTGGAGGGGGAGAAAATGGTGCTGTTGCCGGTGGTGGCGGTGCAGGTGGAGGAAATGGTGGTGGAGGTGGCTATACTGCAGGAGGAGAGCATGGTGGTGGATATGGAGGTGGAGGAGGTGAAGGTGGGGGTGCAGGAGGAGCAAATGGTGGTGGTGGGGGTGGTGGAGCAGGTGGTGGAGGTGGCGGCGGCGGTAGTGCGGGAAAAGTGGGCGGATATGGTGAAGGTGAAGGAGGCGGCAGTGGCGGAGGGTATGGTGCTGGCGGAGAACATGGTGGTGCATACGGTGGTGGGGGTGGACATGGTGGTGGTGGAGGAGGTGGTTATAATGGAGGAGCCGAAGGTGGTGGATATGGCAGTGGAGGGGGTGCCGGAGGTGGTGCAGGAGGAGCTCACGGTGGAGCATATGGTGGCGGTGAAGGAGGTGGTGCTGGTGGTGGAGGCGGCTATGCTGCTGGAGGTGAACATGCAGGAGGGTACGGAGGAGGAGCCGGGGGTGGCGAACGTGGTGGACATGGTGGCTATGCCCGTTGAGCGTAAACAAACACCCACAGTCTAATCCACTCGAGTATCAAAAATAATCTCTTTTACGTACTTGTTAAGTAATTAATCTCTCATGGTGGCTATGCCTTTGGGTTGTTGGGCTATCGCTGATTTTCTGGTCTGGATCCTCTATAAGAATATGCTATGATAACGATAATGATGCCTAAATTGTGTATTGCGTGAAACCAACTATGTGTACGGAACACCATCAAGAACTGCGTTAATTTGTATTCTTCTTTCAATTAATGACTAAATTAAGATAAATAAGTGTACGTGTTCCACTTATTTGTGACATGATTAGCCGCTTACTTATTTCTACGTTGCATGCATGCACAATCACGACTAATATATATAGCTAATAAAGCACGCGAAAACACAACTGATGCGTACATTTTGGTAAATGGCTTTAACCATATTGTATATTTCAATGGGTGCACAAGTTAGGTCCTCCTTGATTAGGGACTTTGATATAAACTTAATGTGAACTTGGATAGTTCTAATTCTAATTATAGAGGAATAAAAATTTGGTACCATATTGTATATTTTAATTAACCTGTATATCAATGAAACCTTTCACCAGTCACCTCCAATGACTGACAGGGAAGGCTTAAAAATAATGATAAATTACCGTTTACCCTTTTGTAATTTGGCATTTTACCACATATTTCTTTTATAGTTTAAGAACTTACACATAATTCTCTAATGATTTGGATTAAAGTATCATTGTTAGTTTTAACAGAAAAACTAATAGTCAATATTTATAGTTTAAAGAAAAAAAAAGTAGTCAAAGGGTGAATTTGGAATTTACTAGTTTTTTTCTACTTTTTAATATTGACAATTAATTTTAATGAAAAAACTAACGGTCACACTTTAGTGTAAAATATAAGGGGATTATATATAAGTGTTTAAACCATACGACATGTTATATAATAAAGCACCAAATTATAGGAAGGTAAAAGATAATGTATTCTAAAAATAATAATAACAATAGGTAGAAATCCAATGGAATCGAGCAAAATATAGCAGCTTCAAAGCAAATTAAAATAAAGGGACAAAGGGGAGGGGGGAGAGGAGAAATGCGATAGATGGTTCAAAGGGATGAACTGTAGGTGAGAAATTTTAACTTCAAATCCTTCAACTTACACTAAAATAAATAAAGGATGAAGGAAGGTAAGGAGGAAATGGTAGAACCGTCTTCCCTCTCCCCTTCTGAGTTGTTAGACTTTGAGATCATATTATTCTTAAACCCTATTTGATAATCCAATTCAATATTTAAATTTAATGGATTTAGATTTTAATATATTCAATGCGTTTAATAACAAAAAATAAAATATTTAAATTAATTATGTGACATTGATTAACTAAAGCCCACATTTTGCAAGGTTTACCCTCCCCCCCCCCCAAATTTGTAATAAGTTGCTTTTACCCTTTTCAAGTTTCTTTATAAAATATATCTTATGACAAGCTAACTTTTAGTTAAATTTCCTTGTGATTAGTATTAATATCAATGTTAGTAAACAATAATTAGTAGCAGGAAATAATGATTTGTCTTAATGTGGGGTTGACTGGAATTAATAAAAGATTTTTCCTAATATAAAGGCACTTAAATTATATCTAAAACTTATCATGTGAGTACACACAATCAAAATTATTGTCCTCCTGCATTTAAATACTTCCTGAATAAGTTCGACTCTGACAAAAAAAAAAAAGAAAAAGAAAAACTGAAACTGCCTTTACAGTTGCCTCCGAAACACTTGTAAGCCAAACCTATTAAAAAAACCTAAGAAAACTAACTTTAAACTGTAAGATTGACCTGGAATTAAAAAAAAGTAGGATTTTTAGTTAAAAACAAACACAAGTTGTAATAAGTTCTTAATGTTTTATAAAGTATCCGTCATTTAATGATGATGTTCTTGCTCATACGTTGATCATATGATGTAGAAAAAGAAATAATTCGAGAAAACTATGTTAATTCAACAATTGTGTATTTGATCAATTGAAGGATCATAAAATACAGTCTCACATCTCCTGCATTGTTAGGAAATAAAATGACTAAGAATTTAATATTATATTTATTTTATACTTTTTTTTTTTTTTGTAAGTGAGATGATTTGAATCCAAGATATGTTACTTTTTTTTTATTTTATACTTTGTCTTTGACAAATAAAAACATCTTATTGCTAGTCATCATCTATCGAACTTTCATTTTAAATTTATTATGCTATTTTCTATAACATTTTTTATTATATTTTTGGCTATTCACTCTTCCAACCTAAAATCCTAGATCTGTCATTGCATGCATGCAAATTCAAGATGATGAGTTTGGGACTGGTGCAGGTACTATCAGAAATAGGTACAATTGGTACAATTACTTTTCTTTTTTCTTTTTTTTTTATTGATTTGGTGTACACTCATACAACTTTATTGCATTTCATGATATGGTGTACATTCATACAACTTTTTGTTGTACATTATAGGGATAATTGCAGAAACCTCTCCTGAGGTTTCTGACATTTGCACTGACCTCCCCTGTGGTTTGAAAAATTACACTGACCTCCCCTGAGGTTACTAATCCTTTGCAAATTTAGTCCAAACGATTAAAATATTATTTTAGGGAGTGAAATTAGAATTTTGTACCAGATTTGCCCTTTGTGCTACATGTCCAATGAATGACAAAGTACTATAAATCAATTAACAACTAATAAACTTTAAAGAATATAATTTATGGGCAAGCACGCATTAATCATTTAAAATACCGGCTCTTTACGGGTATTTTATGTGAGGACTCGCAAATTTCTTGTATTTTTCTCAAAAATTCCCTTTTATTTGAAAATTATTTGGTAACTATTATTTCATGTTATCCATGGTTCAATCACCCTAGAAAAGTGCCAATAACCATAGGAAATTAGGGTTTTCCTATTCGTTTTCAATTCAAGGTGAAATTGGATTTTTCGTATAACCGCAGTATAATTATCCGGTACCGAGTAGGGATCAAATTTGGTGCTTAAGAGTGACTTTTAAGTGAGAAATAATATGTGATTAGAAGCAATGATAAAAAGTTAGGGAATAGGGAGTAAAAACCCTAGTACGTGCGATTTAAGAGAAAACGCGTCACACCGACGTGTACCGTGTATTACCAATTGAACCATCACTTGACCACCACTTTCTTGCCATACAAGTTTAACACTAGTGTAGCAAAATATCTTCCCCCTCTTGGCTCTCCTATTGGCCGAAATTTGTGGCCCAAGTGCAAGGGATGAAAGAGAAAATTTTGTGGTTGTAAGTAAGCCAAGTGTTAGCCAAACTTGTGGCTAGAATTAATTCTTATCTTTCCAACCTTCTTATAAGACAAACTAAGCTTAATCTTCCTCATTTCTTCTTCTTCATGGCCGACCAAAGAGAGAGAGAAAGGGAGAGCAAGTGAAAACAATTTTCTTCTTGAGTTACACCAACCAAGTGCTAGAATCGAATTCTAAACCGATTAAAGTGTGGGTTGTGAGTTAGGAAGCTTGTGGAACTAAAAATTTTTCAAAGGAGGTGGAGTATCACTCATTCAAGCCTTGCTTTTGAGGTATAAAGTCTGATCTTGGTCCTTGTTCATTTAATTTTTGGTTAAAGATGTGATTTTATGGAGGATTAACACTTGAATGCATGAATTTCCAGATTTGGGTTTTCATTTCTTCTCTTTTTGCCCGGTTTTAGTACTCTATGTTAGAGGCCGAATCAGTTCTTACCCAAAACATGAAAGTTATATAGAATGATGTTTTCTAGTTACCTGTAAAATTTCAGCTCAATCCGAGCTTGGTAGCATGTGAAAAGTACAAAATACCCTTACTGTTTTAAGTATTTCCCAAGCAGTCCGTGTGATCAGTTAAGTCCAGTTTATCACGTTTTTTGACTAGGATTCATTCTGATTTAGTGTTTTGCCAAAACATGAAAGTTATAGCATTCTGAATTAGCTTTCAAATGCCTCTAAGAACACCTGATTCGGACTTGTGTACTCTGAGATATATCCATTACAGTGTTCTGCGTTTAAACAGCCGACGAATTGGTTTCTGGTTTAGTAATTCGAGCATTTGACCAAGTTACATTAGAAACTGGACTAAGTGACCTTCATGAACATTGTAGCCCTGAGTCTTAGCTTCGAAACGGAATAGGTTGTGTCTTAATCCGATAAGCGTAGCCTCGGATAAGTTATTTCCTCTTTCATACGTCAAATCTGTCTTTTGCTAAATTGAATTTCTGCACTTGTTATTACTGTATTTCTTATTCTTATGATATTGTGAGCCTATGGAATGGCTCTTGACTTGAATTGCTTATGTGTGATGTTGGGTTGTGGTTGAGGAAAATTAATGAAGCCGAAATGGCTGGAAAATTTGGTAAACACAAAGGGCGTGCTGCCCAAATTTTCGCTCGAGGGCTAGGTTTCTATTTGAACTTGTATACTTTTGTTTAGCCAATACCATGACCGGTTTTCCATTTTAAAACATGATTTTTCATCCTTGGGTTCAAACAACCCTCTTCTTACTTGAAAGTGATCTTTACACGTTTCATTCCTAATTAGTCGGGTTTCTTTGTTTCCCTTAAATGTTTTGCTCGATAAACTGTATTATGCTCTCTTGTTCAACCATAGGTTTCATTGGTGACTAAGGGTAATATCCGGAAGGATATTTTGCACGTTATTGTGCGTAAATAGGTGAGTGTTCTATATACGTTTTGTTTCTATGACTGTGTGGATTGTTGGATCTATGTGATTATTTGTGACTATTTGATTAAATGTTACTTGTTTTCTATGATTTTTAAAATGAACTTTTGCTAGGTGAGTGTGTACTTTATCGCACTCGACCTAAATAAATATGAAATTTTCGGTGATTAAATGTTGAAATACTAGTTGCGCATGAATGTAAGCCTTTTGGCTGAACTGGGCCCTTGCTCTTGTTACCGACCGACTCGAGCCAGAAGCGGACTCGGTCGGGCGATATGGTGACCTGGGTGAATTTGGTATACTCGAGTATTACCTTGTAGTCCGGCTACGTCCGGATGGGTGGAGTCCGGCCAATGTCCGGATGGGTGGAGTCCGGTCAACGTCCGGAAAAGGGGATGAACGAACAAAAGGATGAACGAGGCATTCTACTTACAAAAAAAATGTATTTTCAAACGATTGGAGGAATAAGGGGAAATGTCAGGGGAACGAACGAACAAACAAATAGCTCCTCGTGAGCCTGTATCCTTTTAATGAATGTATTATCATTGCTTTATATTGAACATGTTTTCTGGA